GCAACCGCACAAACGGCCTTAGTGATGAAACATAAATTCGAAATTGGCCTGTAGCTGCCTGTATTAGTAGCTTATTTAGTACTATCAGTACAATCAATTCATGCACGAATTATAAATGAATTCAGCGTTTGCTTAGTATTTTGCGATTCTATATCCCATTATGCGATAATAGGATATAGGATGGATAAATATTACACAAACTTTGGCTTGCTAGCATCAGCGACTTGGTTTTCTTTTAACCTCAAATCTTGGTGTATATAGGTACACATAAGGTGTCAATTGTAGATACTGCAATTTATCTTGCATTGGTTTGTAAGTTGAGTTACTAGATGGATACACAGGCATAAAAGAGGTTTGTTATTCGGAAATAAAACCAATTTTATTTGTTTATGTTCATTCAATCAGTAACAAATTTGAGAAGTTTATCATTGATGGTGTGGCCATGAAACGTTTATCAATCCGGTAAGATTAAACTTGCAAATCTAAGTTCAATTTTATGAGGAAGTAAAATTTTAAAGAAAATATTAAATTTTAAACTACGCGGAATAATAAAATAATGTTTCAGAACGGTGATGATAAATGAACACGGACAATCATTTTTCACACTGGTAAATTTTCCGACGTTTATAAAAATTTCCATTCATTCAACTTCTACATTTTCTTGGCTCAACGCCTCGCTTTCCTAGTCGTCCAGCCGTATGTATTCATGTTCGTTCTTTTGTTAAAAGTATTTTTTTATATGTCTGGATATTTTTTTGCTGGAATAGAATAGAATTTCGCAAAAATGATTAATAGAAATTGTTTTTTCAAAAAATTCATTTGTAACACGATGAAATGAAAGAATAAAAATAATTTTCAAACATTAAGCAAACTTACTTCTCTGTTAAACATACGCTCGTCATTTCGAAAAATGAATTTATAAAGCGAGTCTAACATGCTTTGAATTAGATTGCCCAAAAGATAGAATTTATAACTGTAGCCAGGACAGTTCACCTCTCTCTAGTCACATTATTTTTTTAAACAGAGTTATTATCGTTGGACCACTGAACAACGGTTATGCTAAACAAATTTTGATATAAATTTTCAATTTTTATATACAAAAAGACGAAACTTCGTATAAAATATGTAAATTTATGTAAATTTATTCCTATATTTAATTATTGAATGTGCAGTGTGCTGAATATTCATACCATTCCATTTATATTTTGAAATTTAAAAAATTGTATTTTGATATAACGATTAGGAGGTATATGTGTGATTATAGAAGTTTTGTTTTTCTTAGCAGATAATTGCAAGTTATTTATTTAACAAAAAATCATTTTTTCTAAAACATGATTAAAAAATTTGATTTGAGCCAAGTTTCATTCATTCTTAAGTTATGAGCGGATGAATGAATGAATGAATGAACAAACGATCGAACGAATGATCGACCGATTGATTGTGTTGTTGTAACCCTTGAACGCTCGTAACTACCAACAACGATGCTATAACTTCTCTGATCTCCATATTTCAAACACCAGTGTTGTAGCTTCCATTGATAGCCAAGTGTTCGTTATTCCGTTGGTTCATGGTTGACAAGCACATGCACACGTACACACATACATAGCCAAATTATTTTAATTTTTCAACAACAAAAAATTAAAACAGATTTGTAGGATGCCTTATTCGTGTTTCCGTGATAAATTTGTTTGCAATATCTTTATGTACATTCGATCTAAATCAGGGGTGGGCAAACTTTTTGCTGTGAGGGCCGCATTGAGAACTATTTTACCTTTGAAGGGCCGCATAAGTACTTAAATAGCAATTTTTTAGACCCGAGTGAGAATTTTTTTTAAGATATGTGGCTCCTTTTTTTTTGTTTTTTTTGGTCATAATGTCTGGCTGACGACATTTTATTTGGCGAGCAAGGCATCGCGGGCCGCATGCGGCCCACCGACCGTAGTTTGCCCTCCCCTTATCTAAATGACTAAATGATGAACGGTCATGAATTTGTTGCTTCCATTTGAATTCAAATTCAGCCATGGAACATTTTCAAAATTTCTAGATAATAACTTAAAGAAAGTAAAAATTAGGAAAAGCAAGTACACGATGGTTTTGAAAGCTTTCAAAACTCCGTCAGCCATAACTCTTCTGGCGATTTTAGTCAAAATGATAGGTCGGCTATGCAAAATTTTTTAAACAATTTATTTATCAATAATAAATTGCTTGAAATAATTCATAATAAAATCACTCTGCATTTATTTTATAATCCATCATTCACGTGCTTAATTCAGAGAGCCAAGGTAGTTTATCAAACATAGCCCTTGGAACCTACACGTACAACAGCTCGGCCTTTAAACTCAATTATTTCCTTTACTACGACGCTTTTTATGCTGTCGACGGCCAAAACGGTTTGAGCGGCAGTTCTGTGATTTGTTTTCTCACCGTCCCCGGGTTCAAATCCAATTGGATCGGCGTGGATCTAGTGAACTTTTTTAAAATTATCTACACGATTTTGTACGCTGGAGCAGGTAATTTTGTTAATTCAAATTTTGCAAAAATTGTGGTAAAACTAACGAAGAAATATTTTTGAATTACATATCTCTACATATTTTTAATGAAATAGTAGTTGAAAATTGTAAAAACTACTCCGTCAATCTGTTGAATAAATTGTAAAAAAATTTTGTAGATCAAAATGATTTACCGACAAGGAACGATTTGGACTTCTTCATAGTGGGGGTGAGCAACAGGTCTCTGGATGTTCACCCGCCAGTGGGAGGCACCTACGATCTCTGTGTTCAATATCCAGGTGTGGTAGCTCCGAAGCAGGTGGTTCAGTTGAATTGTTCCTCTACTACGCCTCCAGCCAGATACGTCATACTGCAACAACCTTCCAACTCTACTGGATACATGTCCGTCTGCGAATTCGAAGTCTACGGAACTCCTTACGGAAGTACAGTAATTCATTATTAAGAAATATTTAATGACTGAATTCATTTGAATTTTTTTCTCCACAGAATTCAAAACCAACCTGCTGTTGAAGAGTCCGAGCACGAGCAGTTCATATTTGACAGTTACTTGCGGGCCTCTGACAGCTGCATTGGTGGTGGATGGATTCCACGACTCGTACATTTACCACTGCCACTGTGGACACACAGCAGATGCATATGGAGGACCGAATTGGTTCAAATTTGACATGAATGCCGGTTACAATGTAGACTACATCGTCCTCTCGAACAGACGTTGGGAAGGTTCAATTTTGAATTCTATTAAAACAAACCAAATGATTGCAACAACAAAGTAATAAATTTTGTTTGTTAGATCCACCGTCAGATATGGACATACTGGCCCGTCGGCTAAGCAACTTCACCATCGGGCTGACCAACGCTACATCAGCACCAGTGAGAAATAACTACCCGTTGTGTGCTACTTGGCCTGGGTACGTCAAAATCGGAAGCCAAGCTGAGATGAAATGCAACGCCAACCTGCCCAAATACAGGTACCTGATCGTCCAGGGAAGTCCAACTGCAGCTGGATACCTGACCATTTGCGAATTGGAAGCCTACGAACCAGCCGACAAAAGTACTGATTTCATTTTTTGATTTTTTTAAACTGTAAATTTCAATTAAATTATGTGACGATTAGTATAACTTGCACTCAACTTTGCCTCACACGTTTCAATGAATAAAGGTTTTTTCATGATAGATCACTCCTCAAATATAATTATTTTTTTCAAGATTTAAAAACATCTTGTTAAAGTTTTTCTCACCATGGTTAAAAATAATTTAGCGCCTCTTCCTAGCTTGCATTCCGATCTTTTAACGCATCTATTTTCGCATTTTTGTCTAAACCACTTTTAATGCAATCACATCTTCTCAAACTTTATCAACTGTCCAACTCTATCAAACCCCCAATGGAATTTTTAATTAAAGTTCTCATTCCATAAAACAGTCCTTGGTGTATATTGTATATGATGGGTAAAGCTGTGCATGTACAACGTACAATGTACTAGATCGACATATGTGTGTTTTTATGTTGTGCGTGCGTGTGTGTCTGTTTGTGTGCGTGCTTGTTTGTGCGAGTGTGTGCGCGTGCACTTTGCTCACCTCGGGTTTAGAAAAACTAAAGTTTTCCAACAGGCTTTGATTCATTTTGAAACAAATATGTTTTTATTATATGAAAAATTCAATTCATCCCAGATTCCTTCGCCTGGAAAAGACAGTCAAACATGGCATTGGCTGGATTCCAATTCAATCAGTTGAACGTGAGGAGTGTGTTGGACTGCATGCATAAGTGCAAGCAACTGGGAGGATGTGACTCCATCAACTTCCATCCAGCTTCTAAATTGTGCCAGCTCAATTCTCATATTAATGGCTACAACATCACCACACTTGCGGCTGCTGCTAACTGGTCGTTTTATTGGGTTAATTACAATTAATAAATGCCACATATCTGAGACGCTTAATTAGGCGCTCTTACAAAGTCCTAATCCAAAAGGGAACTCCCACAAAACATTATTCTCACAGATATATTCCAAAGACAAACGTGTTTGTGTCTAGTTAGATTCTACGATTTTTAAATTTTATTTCATAATTTTGTCAATTAACCCATGCAAGTTAATACTTTTCAAACACAGACACACAAATCTAAACATTCATACGCATACAAACACACGATGATTTAAACATTATTCTCTCTCTCTCACACACACACCACACACACACACACAAACACAAACACACAACATTATTCTCTCTCTCTCTCTCTCTCTCTCTCTCTCTCACATACACACACACATTTAAACATACATACACATACAAACACACGATGATTTGCACATATTTTTTCTTGCACATATTGATATAAATTAGTTGTTAAGAGTCAGATCTACAATAAATTGACGTTTTTACAGTTTACTAATGAAAACTGACATTTTTTTACTGTTATTTGTTGATTGCATAAACGTTTTGAAATAAATTATTCATTACAAAGTCTAAAACAATGTCTGTATATTCAAACATTACACAAAACTGCCAAATTTTTTTTTTTAGAAAAAAACCAAAATCAATATCAACCTAGCAAACCACAAGGAAGGCAGAACCTGCACGAGTTACTAACGCTGATAGAGCAGCTATCGATAATTTTAAAATGATGACAATTTCTGCCTCATCATCATAAAAGTTGAAAAAAAAGCAATATCGTTATTTTATTCTTCTTAATTTGATATTCTAGCTTCGTTTCTCTAGCACGGTGTGCCAATTTTGAACGGAACTGTTGCGAATGAACGAACGATTGAGTGAATGAATGAATGAACGAACGAACGAATGAATGAATGAATAAACAAAAAAATGAATGAATGAATGAATGACCTTCAATAAACGAAGAATAAAGTCAAAAAATTACTCAAAATCGATACTTTCCATGCATTTCGACAAACTATCAAAAGCTTTTTTTATTAATAATTCGAGTTAACGTTTGCTTTGTTCACGAGAACATTTGTGAAAACTAAAATGCATCAACGTGTGTGTGTGAATGTGTATGTGTGTGTGTGTGTGTGTGGTGTGTGAATGTGTGTGTGTGTGTGTGTGTGTGTGTGTGGTGTGTGAATGTGTGTGTGTGTGTGTGGTGTGTGAATGTGTGTGTGTGTGTGTGGTGTGTGAATGTGTGTGTGTATATGTGCGTGTGTGTGTGTGTGTGTGTGTGTGTGTAGGTGCTACACAAAAAAACATTAGCAAATCCAACCTAATTTTTTCCTACAAAAGAGAGTCAACACAGAGGAAGACCTCGCTATCTTCGAGTCAAAAGTTATGCAGTTTGACAAGTTACTGATGTTATTAACCTGTCGGGCGTATGACCAGCTAGAATCATCAAAACCCAAACTCTGCCAATCTGGAAAGTGTGTTTCGGAACATTTCCACGTGCTATCTGTCGATATGAATCCGTCTGAACTCAGGCTACATAATGAGATGGCTTCTGACAGGGCTGTTGAATGTGACAGGATAACAAAATGATAACATAAGAGCCAGAAAAAATGGTTTCGTTGTTTTTCCAAACTAAAGTTTAAAATTCTAAAATAACATTTTAAGATTAAAAAAAACCGAACTAACATACTCATAAATTCGAACTGCTGTTGCAGTGAAACCGTGTTCGATTGCAAAGAAATCCAACCAAACAGGTATGCAATAGTATGCGCGTTGATTTACGCAAATCTGCACGCACACTCAGTATTTGTTACTTGATACTTGTGGAAAATACTAAACAGAAAATCGTAAAAAATATACTAACTCGTTGATGAGGTTACAGACTTGGCAGGATTCAAATAATTAACCAGAGCCACTAATTTGCTACCTATGGACGCGTCGAAGATGGTGCTTCGCGTGGCGTTCACGGGTTCAACTGCAATCCCATCAACATACACGCTGACCGTGTCGGCTTCTAAAAGTTGCATGAGGAAAGATCTGGAATTATCTAGAATGAAAAATTATTTAAACAATTTTTCAGGATTCAAAAAAATACCTGATATGCGATACATTTTTAACCCCCATGAATGTTTAATTTACTTCAGATGATTATAACGTTCTATAAACTCTTTTCTGTTAAATTGTACATTTGAATAAACTTTGAAGATATAAAAAATGTTTTCTATTGAAATTGTATTTAAAATGTTATAAGGAAAAATTAAATAACTAATTTTAAATTAAACCAAAAAATTCTGTGATTGTTAGTGTTATCTATAATAAATACTTGTGTTATGCGATTATCCGATATCCAACTATCTGAGACCCTTACTTGTATCAAGATAGAGAGCACATTTCTCGCCGGAGTACTTGTTAAATGGAAGCGATGAATAGAGACCACACATACCGATATCAAACCGGATATCGAATCCTCTGCACCAATCCTTCCCGGAACAAATCCACGAACACTGGATTAAAATTTTTAATGGATCGTATTGGGATAGATCGTAAAGGAATAGATCCGTGGTTCCCAAGTAGCAGATATCCCTACCGTCACAGTCGAAAATACGTTTGTATTGGCTCGGTTCCTCGAAGGTTGGTCCTACACTAGATGAAATCGCGATCAGTTTGAACATCAAATGAAATGATTTCGTTGATTTAAACATTTTTAATTTTTTATAAAACTTGATTTGGAATAGTGGAAAAGCGTGCGAGAGACGTTTACAATGTTATGTAAAAGTCTATTTATCACATTTCTCTCACATTTTGCCACATTTCCTCCTTTACACACCCTTTTTTCCATCTCTCTGTTTTATCTTTCTCCATTGCTTTATCTTTTTTTCCATGAATCATTCTCTCTCTCTCTCTCCCTCTTTCTCTCCTTCTCTCTCTCTCTCTCTCTCTCTCTTCGTAATTCTCTTTTTCCTGTTTCGTTATTCTTTCCAACTTTTTTTCTGACGTATTCTTTATTCTATTTTCTCTCTTTCTCTCTCTCCCCCTATTTGCATGAGATAAACAGCAACGACGGGATACGGAAACGGAAATAGATAAAAGTTTATATTGATCGGTAGGACAGCAACGACGACATCCACATAAATCAAAACGAAATAAAGCGCTATATAAATTTGACGTCATCAATTTTTATTTCTAGCTACTTCCACGTGTGCAGCCTGATGTTTTATTATGATTTTTTTTGTTGTAAAATAAAATAAAAAAAAAATATTTAACCGAAAAAAAAGTTGAATTGAGTTGGGTTCAGTTAACATTACGGCACTGTTCATATTTTTTTAAAGACTCAGCCAGAATTTTTTAAAAAAATTAAAATCAAATATAATGAGATGGTGTGTGTGTGTGTGGTGTGTGTGTGTGAATGTGTGTGTGAGTGTGCTTTGGTGTGCGTGTCTGTAAATTATCTTTTGTTATTCTATGAAATCAATAGTCAACAAATAAATGAAAGAGTATGTAGGCCTCCAATTAGAAAGCACAGAATTGTTCTGTTCGTTTTAAAATTTGAAAAATAAATATTTGATGAGAAATTTAAAGAATTTGATTTGGGTGAAATGCGTTCATTCGCCTTTTAAGAATTTATAAATAAAATTTCTTCACTGTAAAATTTTTAAAATTTCAGCTTAATATTCAAAAAACATTTTTGCAAGTATGAAAACTTTAGCGCTATATCATTTTACTGCTATAATATTCAGTCTCTTTAGTATCACAAAATTGACGTCAGCCAATATTAACAGCTACAGACGTATACAAATTTGCAATGGAAATGATGACGTATGTTACAGTTTTACAAATCCCATCGAAGCTCACGTTCTCAAACCTTACGAACAATGCAAGGCATTAACATGGTGTGCCTGGAAATGTTCCAATATCAGTGTCGGTGTTTGTCAGAGTTTCGATATTCGATTCGATATTCGATTGAAAACTTGTGTATGCAGGCTTTTTTCTTCTGTCATTAAACAATATGCTGTAAACCCGGGATGTTCGTTGTATTTTAATAATGGTGAGTTGATGGGGTTAATTTTGATTTTGGGTTATGTTTCTGTTATGTTTGGTTGGTTGGCTGGCTGGTTTCGTGTCTTTTCAATTCGATAAACTTGAAACGTTTAATTGATTGTATTTTATTGTAAAGTATTGCACTTTTTTTTACATTTTTACCTGTTATTTTTTACGAAACATTTCATCCAAATTATAGTTAACTGGTTTAAAAATCATTTTTTTTTACATAAATTTCTCAAAAACATTCTAATATTTGTTGTTGAAAAACATTCTAATATTTCTTCAAACTAACACTATTCTCTCAACACAGATGTCCCGAAACTCTTCAAACTACGTTTCGAAAGAGGAAGCAAACTCATCGGCCTATACGTAGACGGGGTAAAAATCCTACCAACCAATCCTGGTGAAATAAATGTTCCCATTCCCATGTCAAGCAGAATTGTGGCTCTTTCCGTCCAATTTCCTTCTAGAAATAGTTGTGTTTCTATTTTTCATATATTATTATAATTCTCTTTAAGATATTCCTCAGAAGTTAGAATTTAATGAATTATTATTATTCAAATAGAAGTTTCAATCAAAACGATTAATTTAAAAAATGAGAAAATTTCTCGAAGGTATGTTCATATGCTGCGAGTGGAGTAGTTTCTCACTCCTGACTGATACAACTTGGAGATGTACTAGCGACGGTCTTGGTGATGAGGACTGGTTCGACCTGAGGTATGACGATTCCTCCTGGCCATTTGCCCTGAAGTACGCAAAATTTAATTTGAAAAATTGTATAACGGCTGTCGAGAGAGGAGGCATTGGTCAAGCGAGGACGTCTGTGAATTTGTACTGTAGGAAAAAGTTAGGTTGGGAGAATATTTTTTTTTTTGAAATTTTCGTTTAGATTTTTTCAAAGTTTAATAAGCTGATTGATTAGTTTGTTGTTCGGTTGTGGTTGGTTGAATGGTTAGTTAGTTCATTCAACCAATTAGGTATCATGATATTCATTTAACCACCGCAGGTCCAGACCAAATTATGTGCTGATTAAAACGAACTCGAAGAAATTGTTTAATAACATTTGGCAGGAGTGAAAAAAATTTACGAAATAAGATTTCTCATGTTAACCGTTTTATTCTTATCATCGTTATTTTGTTTGATTGCGTTTAATTAAAATAATTATATAATTATAAAAAATAATTAATCGTTTTGTTTATTTTAATTTAATTTGTGAAAGAGTGAATCAAAAAATTAGAGACAATTAAAGTGCGAATATAAATAAATATTTTCACCGTGGAAAATTACTCCATTGGGCGCCTGAATTAGTAGAGAGACATGATTTATATACCAGTTAGCAAAAAATATATCACAAACTCCAAAAATTTTTCTTGGTTCGCTACCCCAAAGTTTCCTTCGAACAATCTCCCGACTGTCCTCAAAATGTGAGTTCTAAAGAAACTTTTTCAAATTCAATTTCAAGTTTAATTAAAGTTATAAGAAATGTTTAATTTTTTCAATTTTTTCCTCACAATTTTTTACCTAGTAACTTGTAGATCGATCGATCGATTTGAATGTGCACAGACCAATTTCAAAAAATTCAAGTGCGCGCGCTTTCTTTAAGAGCGCAAAACAAACGAACACCAATAAGTATAAATAGGAACAAGAAGAAGATGAATAAAACAAATAACCAAAATAATAACGACAATAATAAAAATAATAATAATAAACAATGATAAATAAATAAATAAAACCCACGCAGATATATTCATTTGCAGTGAGTTTGGCGAATTTTCGCTGATCACCGACACCACCTGGAGATGCATCCCAAGACTCGTCCACAATTGGTTCACCATCCATTTCGAAGATTCAAAATGGCCTCTCGCCGAGCAGTATACAGAGAAAATGTTTCTTAAATGTTTAACTTGCAGGAGATGTAAAGAATTTAAAAGAAGCGGTATATCAGTTATGTATTGCCGGAAGACATTGGGTGGGAGATTTCATTAATTCACGTTTGAATTGTATTCCTCTCTTATAATGTATTTCGGTTTCCGAGATATTTATACTAAATTTGCATTCACCGTATACTAACATAGCTTTGTGTGTGTGTGGTGTGTGCGTGTGTGTGTGTGTATTTCATTCATTGAAAGAATATATAATAACAAATTTTTTAGACCCCAGAAGAATTTTGTGTCAAACCAGTGAAGGGAATTATTTGTCAATGCTACCCCTTGAAGGAATGGAACGAGAGGAAGAAAATATTCTTCGGCATTTAAAAAAACTATTGTTTGCTAGAGTAATTGAATTAATGAATTAATTAATTAATTAACGAACAAGCAAACGAACGAACAAACAAACGAATGAACAAATGAATAAATGAATGTGCTAATATGAAATTTCACATTCCGAACGTGTTTACACATGAAACCAAACATCAACTTTTACATTCAAGAATTAACACAACGTCGATCAATAAATACTCTCGAAATTTATTACTTTCTATTGTTTTTTTTAAAAGAAGCACTCATTTGAATGACAAATGCTAAGAATAAATTCCTGTGATACACATTCAAAATTAGCATATTTCTCCTTGTTCGATTATTTCTGACCGACCAGTGAATCCTAAACGACGCAAAAAAAATTTGCACAGTTGGCTAGATTAAAAATTTTCACCAAGAATCAATAGCAGTGAATCAAACGCTTTCATCTATAAAAGTCTATACGGTTTAGAACGTGATTTTTGTCATTTTTCTTGATTATTTTTACCATATTCAATATTTCCAAGGATTTAAATCCATTTAAATTCTTCTCTATATATTCCCAACAAACTAAACATACATTAATAACCAGCCAATCTTAATGACATAATGTGGCAATTTTCATTGTTGAGCAAGTCATCCTTGCTTATATTTGTTCTGCTCTTCAACTCTAAACCAATTCTATCTGACCATGATTGCTACAGGCGTATACATGATTGCTATGGGAACGACGTATGTTATTCTAGCAGTTGGTCTTTAGAAAAAATAAATCTGAGTGACTATGAACCATGCAGAGCTCTTGTTCTGTGTTCCTACTACTGCTCAAAGGCAAGTTCCTGTAAGAGTTATGATTTTAGAACTGATACTGGCGTCTGCAGGCTTCATAACTCAGTGTCTGACAGTTTTTATGCAAATCCTTCATGCTCCCTTTATGTCAGAGCAGGTTGGCAAAATTGTTATTTAATTCATTGTTATAATATTTGCTGTTTTTTATTTAAAACAAAAATATCTAGAATTTTTGTTAAAAACTCAAAAATATAGAGCAATTTTAATTCAAATTGAATAGTTGAAAAGAAGAAGTTTTTTGTAACAACGACCCAGAAGTATGGACCAAAAACAAATCATACTGGAATAAATCCGAATGCGATAGGCGACGATGTCTGCGTTTGAACCCGGTTACTACCAGCGCTACTGAGCGTCTCTAACCAGTACAACGAACTATCTAATCTCTAAATAAATGGTGTAAATTAATTTTCCAGACACAGTCACCAAGTTTACAATTTATTCTTTTTATCTGTTCAGTGTGTACGTGAACGGAGTCCTGAAAGCAACATTCATCCAAAGTTATTTTAACTTCAGCCTGAAACTTGCTGATATGACAGTTGCTGTCGCCAGTTACAAAAACCCATTTAACCAAATTAACAATTTCGGTTGGTTTTTAAAATTAATAAAATTAAATATTAATGGTATAAAAATTTTGTCAAATTAGGATTTTTCCTGACAAGCTCTTCCAGCGGTCTTCCAATGAATGTTGACAACACCTGGAAGTGTACACAAACATTTCAGGACAACTGGTTTAGCAACAGTTTTGACGATTCTTCTTGGCCCAATGCTGTTACTTTTCAATATTTTCCAAACTGTATTTCATGTTACGACTGTGATTCTAAGCCTATATTGGCAGTTTACTGCCGAAAAAACTTAGGTATGTTATGTTTAATTTTTTTCGAGCAAAAATGTATTTGGGGTTTGTATTTTGAAGTACATTAGGGTAAGCACAGGGCTGAGCTTACTAGTGGATGCCCAGTGGCAACAAAGAAGTGAGGTGCTATTTATTTAGTAGAGAGCCTTAATTGTTTATTGGAAACCTCTAAATTTAAAAATTTTTCTAACGAATTCAATGTTTATTAACGACAGACAAACATGTTAACATTAAAAGTTAAGTATCCATTTTTTCATTTGGATGGAGACAAATTTTTTATAACGGTCTCGGAGCAGTAAGCTTGGCTCTGACTGCAATTCGTAATTTAAAATTTGTATACATAACCCTCTGAAATTGAATGACAGATCCGAAAAGACCAACGTGTTAGCTCTGCATGTATGGTGTGAGTTAAAAAAAGAGGAAGAAATTGAATTATTGAAAAGAATAAAATTGGATTAGAAAATGAAATAATTTTATAGTTTCATAGATACAAATTTATCTTCATTTTCAACTAGAATTTTTAGCTATTAATGTTATCTCAATGCCATTTTATTTCTTAATCTTTCTAAAAAAAACTTATTAAATTCTTTTATAGTTTATAAACATTTTTCTAAATTTTCAAACATTATTTCCAAACAATTTAACAATATTTCAACTATTAATTCATGTATTCTTTCCTTTATAACTCTAAAACTTTCTAAACTATTTGTGTATGTACCCGTAGCTATACCTATTTCAATTTTTACGAAAGCATATTTTAACTAAACCTTTTGGATTTTTAATTCAGTTTAACACAATCGGCGATTTTTTCCTAAAATAATTTTCAGAAGTATCAGCCATGGTATCAACGGAGAAAAACACATTCAAACTCGGTCACAAGACCAGATACTCCAACCATTAAACCACACTGAAACTGTAAAAAATGATAAGAATTTATAAAAAAAAAACGTTATTTTATTATAATCTATATTAAACTATATATACATATAAATTATAAACGTTCATTCGTTTGATTAATTCAAAAATTGTGCGAATTTTAAATAAAAAAATAGTTTTTTTTTATTAACGGCCATTCTTCAAATACAAATTACACTAAATATCTAAAAACACGTTCACTAAATCAACGTAATAAGAAGTGATAAATTTTATTAGAGTGAATGTTTTACAAGGTTGAAAAAATTATATTCTAATAAACTGTTAATAAACATAAAATTTAAAAACATCCTCCATCAATCAATCAACTATTTATAGAACACTCTTTCCGCAATGTTCAACAGAGCTCCACTATGAATTTTATAAACAGATGGGTCTTAAGACAAGATTTTTTTACTCTAGCAACACTATTAATCTGAGAAGAAAGAGACATGTTAGAATAAAAGATAAAGCCTAGACTACGAAACTTGTGAGAAACATCAAGAGTTTTAGAATCAGGTAAGATAATAGGAGGAATAGTAAGGGAGGAGAGTCTAGATTTCTGTCATCTGTTCAAAAACTCACTTATTTTGCGCAAGTTTGAGAGCTACCGTAAGGCACTGAAAATAAAATTTAAATAATAAAAATATGAAAAAAATATAAATTTAAAACAATATTCTATCAAATTATTGTAATAGCATTAATGAGGATTGATTAACTACATAGAGAGCTATTATTGGTAAACCAGGCCAAACTACGACATATATAGCTATCTACTGCATATATAATAATAACAATAATATAACATATATAATATATGTAAGTGCAAGCATAATTAAAAAGAACTATGACTACGCACCTAATTTTTTCCTGCAGTAAATATCAGTGGAGAAAACTTTCGAGGGCTCCTCATAAACCAGACGATTTGGATTTTGCGATTGATCCTGTCCCCCCCTCCAACTTGAATCGTCAAAAAGTAGACTCGTCCATTCAAGAGTGTAGTTGTTGTTACACTTCCACGAGCTATCGGTTAAAATGCGGTTGTCGCCAGATGAAGCGTAGACGAATGCTTTTTCCAGTTGGAATATTTGAAGTTTTATGTGGAGAGTGATAACAGCAATTAATGCTGAAATATATTTTAATATAGATATGAGAAGCGATTATTGTGTGTGTTTAATTGTCTGTGTGTAGGAATTTGTTTGCCTGTGTGCGTGTTTGTGTGTGTGTGTTTGTGGATGTGAAAGGTTGTGTGTGTGAGTGCATGTGTACGTGTAAAATTAACAATAACTTTATTCATTAACAACACTAATTAATAACGATTCCATTCGAACAAAACAAAAGTCACGAAACCCATGATAAACTGTCACATAAAAAAAAGTCCAACTCCTAACTTACCAGCTGTTCCAGACAAATCAGAGCTCCACCCTTTAATGGCCAGTACACTAGTGACCATGGAGACATTAACCTGGAGATTGAGGTTGGGAGTTACGCTACTGTATGAGGCCAGCAATGACCCATCTGTGTATATTTCGAGACCGTTTGGAGAGGACACTCTGAGGTTGTAACTCAAATCTGTTTGGAGGAGAATTTTAGGTTGTGGTGTTGTTAACAGTCAGTGAGCAGTTGCGTTATTTTGTTGGTTCTGCTTGCGTGGTTTGAAAATGTTGATAATTTTTGAGAGAATTTTCAATAAAACAAAATAATTAAAACCTTAATTAAATTTATTAACTAAAATAATTTCTAATTATATATTAATTATATTTATTAATAAAAATAATCATCAGATATAAATGCTAGTGCACTACCGCTCAGAAAATAATGATCACACTTAGGATCAACCATGAAACAAGAAGAGCTCAGGCTATTAGCAACGGAATAGAACTGGCAGCTACTAGTAAGATGCAAATAGTTAAAAGCATAACAGTCGGAGAAACTCTGGCAATGTTTAGAACATCCGGTCAGGCTGAGTAAGTATCCGTTATAATAGTTTCCATAATTGGAAGACGTGTAAATGAACGATGGCGATTTGCACGAACAGACGGCATTACTGTAGCAATCAAATGCTCGTCTGAAGCATTTCGTTACGTTGTTTAGCTCGCTTTTGGTTATTAGGTAGCAAAAAATTGTTAGTATTAGTAATTTAAACATTTTTTCTGTAATTCTTGGAAAATATTTTGAATATTTGCAAAGAATTTTGGATATTTTTGGTGAATCTACATTTTCTGTATAGCGTTTATATAGGTGTGGGTGTTTGTGTGTGTGTATGTGTGTGTGTTTGGCGTGTGTATGTGTAGAAATATACACACATATGCATTGTATTATATATACTTAAAAGATGATTGAAACAAAGCCAATCAATTAATTTCAATTCTTATACTTTTAGGTTTTACGAATTCTTCAAAAACATGAAAAAGTTTCTAAATTTCAATACCTTTTTAGCAAAAAGCACTTAGAATTATCTTTCTTGTTTTTTTTATTCTTCTTTGTTTTAAATATTTTTACAAAATGTTTTACGTTCTATATTTTGCTATATTAAAAGTTTAAGATCTAAGTTTGTTTTTTTTTATAAAAATTTATTTCTACGTAAGTTGATTTTTGTAAAAAAAATGAAATAAAATGTCCTATGTACATTTAAAATAAAAATTTATTTAAAATGAATTTAAATGGAAGTGAAATTTTTATTTGAAATATTAATTTCTCATCAAACTAATTTTTTATTTTTTTAAAATCGCCAACGAGTGGTTGGTAATGGTAACGTCGTTTGAAGTTTAATTTTCAAAATGGTTGTTGTAGTGTATTGAAAGTACTAAAAACACTGAGTTTATTCGGTTAAATTTTATTTAAAATAAATTTCAAACTCAATATAAATGTTAATATAGCAAAATAATTATCCAACAAGCTAGCTCAGTAGGTAGAAGCGTCATGTATGGCGTTGTTATTACGTTGGTGGCATGGTTCGAATACTGTCTGCCAGAAACTCAAAGACCATCATACGCTTGTGATGCGAATGTTTTAATGAAATTATGAAATTTTATATGAGCAGTTCTGCAAATGTTTGCACTGCATGATGATGGACATCAAAAAGTGAAAATGTTTGGTAGCAGAGATTGTTTTAACATAGTTGTTGAAAAAACGTTTAAAACATTTTTTTGAATTGAAATGAAATAAAATTAATTGGTAGTGTTTATCTGTAAACTAAACCGCTAAGAGTTTACGTGTATAACATTTAACAGTGCAAAATGTTGGTACCATGTAAGAGTAAAAATAGTCTGTAATGAAATTTTCAAGTATTCAGAAAAGAGATTGTGTAAAAATCTTCTTCCACTGCTGTCTGTTTTGTGTCATTAGCATTTGGTCATTCCAAAATAATCTTCAGAATGAAATTATTTAAAAAAATATTAATTTTTTTGCGTTTTCTCTTTGATATATCTATGAGATTTCAACACGAAAGACACAGTGTATGTCACAATGCATCATAAAATAGCAATCTAAAACTCACTGAAAACCTTTCTACAGTAATACGAAGCAGTACTTGGCTTCAAAAGAGAGCCATCTGAATCGATCCAGTCAGAATCGTCGAAATGCAAAGTAGTCCAGCCGCTAGCATTTAAAGGGTTACATTTCCAAACGTTGTTCCATGAGATCTCTTTATAAATTGGTTCTAATTTTACTTGAACTTTTGAAAAAAATGAAAAAATAGCTTTGGTTTTTTTTGTCACCCTTTATCTTAACGATCATCATTTACTAACTATTTGTTGGAGAGGGGAAAAATGGCAAGATTTGGATAGCAACGATTCTACCTGCAAGTTGTTCAATAATAGTTGTTGCCTGTCCTAAAAAAATTCCAGATGTCGTCGTCTTAACCAGACGGCCATCAATGTGTATTTGCAAGGAGCTCCCACTGGTTATGGTAAGGTTAAAGATTGTGTTGAAGGCAGAACCTTTAGGGTGAAAAATTGAAATTTTCAATCTAGGCGCAGTTAAAATACGTTTCTTTGTTTGTCTGCCTGTCTGTCTGTCTGTTTCTTTGTTTGTCACTGAAAAGTACTAAATTTTGCAGTTGAAAATTAACATTTTATTAACGTTTTTCAACTAAATTTATAATTATTATAAATTTTTATAAAATTAAAATACTACTCAGCAAATATCACCCTAACCCTCTTTATAAAAATGCCTACAGGACAGATCGGCATATGCCAGGCAGTTTTTTTCATCGCCAGAAAACATCTCGCACCTAGAAGCACCCCCCAGAAAGTTGTACCCCACGCTAGAAGCACCCCCCAGGAAGTTGTACCCCACGCAATAGGGATCCTTGTAGCAGAAGTAGGCGCACATAATCAGGCCTTCCTCGCTGGAATAATTTCCAGAAATATTTCGAAAATTCTTTGCACCGCACAGGCTAATTTTTCTATCTCGGCAATCTTTCAAAACTTTGAATTTTCCATTATTAATTTCTACGCCGGTTAGGTTGCACGCCATCAGTAGTAATGGAAAGAAATTTTCAGTCGTCATTTTTGGAATGAAATTTCAAAAAATGGTATAAATTATTTTTCGAATACCGTGTCGTTTATATAGTAATTTGTCAATCCAATCAATTTAAAACTATACTCTATTATAAACTAAGCGTGTATAATATGAAATATGAAAGAAGAGAAAAACTGAAAGAGAGAGAGAGAGAGAGAGAGAGAGAGAGAGAGAGAGAAGTTACTGTTATAATAGAGACGACGTGATAAACACTGTAATTACGGTTTGACGAATAATGGAATTCTCATATGGGCTTATTTATTAAATTTATAATTTCTATTCAGTTTGTATTATATTGAATTCTATTGCATTGTGTTGTGTTGTATTGCATTGTGTTGTGTTCTGTTGTATTGTATTGTATTGTGTTCTGTTGTATTGTATTGTATTGTGTTGTGTTCTGTTGTATTGTATTGTATTGTATTGTATTGTATTGTATTGTATTGTCTTGTCTTGTATTGTATTGTATTGTATTGTATTGTATTGTATTGTATAATATTGTACGGCATGGTATGGCCTGTTGTGGTGTAATATCGTATCGTAGAGTGTTTCTTCTATAAACACCAAATAAAAATAAGATGAAAATTATACGAAGTTTTAAAAATAAGAAAATCTTCATGAAATTGCTTATTATAAGACTACTCTCCAACTTTTCCAGGTAATTATCCAGATGAAAATTATATTCAGAAAGGTCTCTACAACTCAATTCTTGCTAACAATACCTCTTTGTGTATTAATATATGTTACATCTTAATAATAACAATGATAATAATTATAATAATAATGGTAATAAAAATAATAATAATACTAGATGTTGTATAGCTGTAGTAGTAGTAGTAGTAGTAGTAGTAGTAATAGTAGTAGTAGTAGTAGTAGTAGTAGTAGTAGTAATAGTAGTAGTACATAGAATTGTTTACCAAAATTTTTTAAATTTTTAATAAAGACATGCTTTAGAGTGCTATGTGTTTTTACAATATAATCAGCAACTTCAAAAAAAAAGCTCTACAATATTGAAAAATCATTTTTTTTTCCATTTATACGTTAAGATTGCCATTGTAAGGAGAGCTCGGACGAGGAAGTTTCAATAGCGAACATTTATCCGAAAAATTAAAACTTGAAATATTGTTTTAGAAAAAATTCTTGAATCGATTTTTTTTAACTAAAAACAAAAATAAGAACTTTTAAAAATTGAAATTATTGACAAAAATTTCAAATTAAACAAAAGTGTACTTCAATTTTATGCTTGTATGTGAAAATTCAACAAACTACTGTTTAACATTGGTCGTTTCTTGCCATGCTAACACATCCGTACTAAGTCACTAAAATTTAGACAAAATACCAACTAAATTCTTTCTCTGCCAAAAATTAAGAAGTCAGCTATAATTTAGAGATGGTTATATTTTGGTTATGATTTTTTTGGGGGCATAGGAACATAAGTTCGCGCTCTTTATTTGAACTATTATGTTATAAAAAATACACATGTGTGTGTAAGTGTATGTGTGTGTGTAATATGTGTGTCATAATATATATATATATAATATATATATATATATATATATATATATATTATGAACCTTATCAAAAAAACATTATTTTGTGTTTTTTGTGTCATTACCAAATTATGTTAGACAATTGGCACTTCCCATACTAAGTGAATTTTCCTTTGTCTATTTTCTGCCAAAAACATCCCATTGTTTGGAATATACCCGGTAAAAAATGTATGTTTGTTTGTATGTTTGTTTTTTTGTATGTATGTGCGTATGTAGGTTTGTATGTGTGTAGGTATATTTCTCATTTGCTAGTTTGTCTTTACAATCTAGGTATATATTTATGAGTTAGTTTAATGCGTTAGAAATAAAGTTGGTCGAATTAAAGATGGTAGTCTCAGTTCAAAATTTAATATTTGGAATTCACTTACATTTTCTCGTTTTAATCAGTAACTATGAACATCAAATGTTTAAAATTTTTTAAATGTATGTTGATTGCATGTATGCTATTATATCGAGTCAAAAAATTCGGTAAGATATGTATTTTTGTAAAAAAAAATTGATTATAAATTGTTTTGTATGTAGTTCGTTTGTTGATTTTTGAGAAGCTCTAAAAATAATTTAATTAATTATTCAAAAATTTGAAAAAAATTTGCGAATTGTTATGATTTTCAAATGCAGATTGTCAGACAAACCTGACGAACATTGCCCTAGGGGCATTCACCTACAACAGCTCATCATACAAAGTGGATTATAGATTATGGCAGACTTCCTACTTTGCTGTCGATGGCAAAAACGGTTTGATAGACACTACAGTGCTGTGTTCTTTGACTGTGCCTGGGTTCGAACCCCACTGGATCGGTGTCGACCTTGGAAATTTGTTTAACGTAGTCTACACAATTGTTTATGCAGGGACAAGTAATGTAACCTTTTGTTATTTTACTACTTTAACTTTGTGATAGAGAGCATTTAAAATTTTGAAATATTATTGTAGTGTTTAAACAAGTGTTTTAGGTAATCAAATTTACATGAGCGGAATAATAACCAATAAATTGTATCAATGGACTATGGACTAATTTTTGTACATGGAACCCTCAGACAAAAGTAGTTTACCAAAATGGAACGATCTGAACTTCTTCATAGTGGGGGTGAGCAACAGATCCCTGGATGTTCACCCGCCAGTGAGAGGCACCTACGATCTCTGTGCTCAATATCCAGGTGTGGTAGTTTCGAAGCAGGTGGTTCAGTTGAATTGTTCCTCTACTACGCCTCCAGCCAGATACGTCATACTGCAACAACCTTCCAACTCTACTGGATACATGTCCGTCTGCGAATGGGAAATCTATGGAATTCCATACGGAAGTAAACCTAAATGCTCTTTATAATGTCAAAATCTTTCATCTGATATTATTTTAACAGAACACCGCACCAACTTGTTGCTCAAGAAGCCGGCAAAGAATAGCTCCAACTCAGTTATACCTTGTGGGCCTCAATCGGCGAACCTGGCCGTGGACGGCTTTCACGACACCTTCCCTTACAACTGCCACTGCGGACACACCAATGACGCCCCTGGCGGACCGAACTGGTTCAGATTCGACATGCAAGCCGACTATTTTATCGACTACATCGTCTTGACCTCTCGAGCTTGGGAAGGTAGAGATACAAATTTGGCACTTCTCGTTGTACAAAAGAAAAACGTTTCACATTAATAATAATTTTTCAGACCCACCCAGCAACAACGATGCTTACGCTCGCCGTCTGGAGAACTTCATCATCGGTCTGGCGGACACGCCTCTAACTCCAGTGCGACAAACCTACCCGATGTGTGCCACTTGGCCCGGCTACGTAAAAGTTGGAGTGAAAGTTCAAATGAAATGCAATGCTAACTTGCCCGACTACAGATACTTGATCGCACAGGGAGGCACCGGTCCCTTCAATAGCCAATTCACCATTTGTGAGTTGGAAGCTTATGAAGCTGTCGATCGAAGTAGGCTGTTGTTCCTCTTTTGAAATAATTATTACGGCTGAAGTGGTGTGTGATAGATAGTCTTCTGTCTTCTCGAATTGTTATAGATAGTTCTATATCTTCTCAAATTATTATAGATAGTTTTTTATATTCTCATATCGTTATAGATAAACTTATATTTCAAATTTTTGTAAATTATTATTTTCTTCCGTAAATACCTCGAAAGAAATGAGTTTAGTTATTTTCCGCTATCAATTTGACAAGAAAACTTTTGAAAATGCGAAAACCTTTACCTCAATATAAGATCAAGTAAATCAAATTGTTAAAAATTTTATTCTAATTTTCGAATTAGTGGTGTATAGAAAAAAATATGGAAACAATTTTTCCAATACGCTAGCCAAATTTGTGTGGAAAAGACAAGCCAGTGTCCGATTAAACGGATTCCAATTCAATCAGTTGTACGTGAGGAGTGCATCGGAGTGCGTGAGTAAGAGCCAGCAACTGGGAGGATGTGACTCCATCAACTTCCATCCAGCTTCCAAATTGTGTCAGTTCAATTCTCATATTAACGGCTACACTTCAATTACGGCTGATACTAATTGGTCGTTTTATGTGATGAATTATAATTGATCAACTAAACTTTAATTAATTTAATTTTAGTTAATTTTAATCCTGTTAAATCATTTAATCATGAACCATTCACATATAATCTGGGATGGGATGTAGATTATGATGTCATGCAGAGGATGGTACATTATTTCCATGCTTATTTGCTATAAACGATGACAAAGATATTTACAATGTTTAGGTTTTATGCATTTTTTTCTCATAACTTACTATTTATCCTATGCTATTTTTATTTGTGTTTGTGTATATTTGCGTGTGTGTGTGTGTGGTGTGTGTGTGTTGTATGTGGTGTGTGTGTGGTGTGTGTGGTGTGTGTGTGATGTGTGTAGCGTTTTTACTTTGTATTTTTCCTGCAATTTAAAAATTTTCAATTAAGCCTTTTTTTTAGTGTAACGCACTTTAGGCACCCTACGTAAACACGCACAGTTATTCATTTTTACATGAAACACACATATGCCAGAGTTACTGGAGTTTTTCTTAATGAAAACGTTGAGACACCAATCCCTGTTTTAAATGTTTGCGATAACTTTTTATCTGGAAGATTGTTAATGTATTTCGACTGGAAATACATTGTATAAAGCCCAAGTAGGGATAAAATATTGTCATACTGCTCGCTTTTCATTGTTCTACGACGGTTACTGTTAGAACTGAGGGAAATCCTTTTTGTTTCTGCAAACTCGCTCGCTCAACGTTAAATAACTCGCTATTGTTCGTGTACATAAAATAATGAAATGATTTTGGCTCTTGTGTCGCAGTGATTAGATTCAATTGCAAAGAGATCCCTCCCTATCAAGTTGATTCACTCATATTTATATGCATTTGAAAAAACACTGATAAAAATTCAACTAAATAAAACTAACACTAAATCAAAAGAGTCAATGAATGAATGACTTTTAATGCATGCAAATGCTTTTGAAATTATTCAAACAAAAGCTCATAAATGGCGATTGTAATGATAGGACAATCTTTTTTAGAAATAATGAGGATCAACGATAAATTCGTATTGTTTCGCATACAGGCATTGCCATCTTGTATGCAAATTATTTCTAAAGAAATCTATAAGCAATATTGTTTATTGATGAGCATTTTTTGTTACGTTTACAAAATACAAAAATTAATTTCAATAATTTATTGACCAGATAATCTTTATCGTGTAGTTTTTCTGAACATTTTAACTTTGCCCAAATCTGATAAACTGTTTATTTGGCTAGAATATTTGATAAAACAAGAAATTTTTCAAATATTTTTGATTTTAAATCAAAATGTTCAACCAGTGGTTAGGTTTGCTAGTTGTGCCGATGGCTAACAGGCTGATGGGGAGTTGTAAACAGTTTTTAATCGCTATTTTGACGTTCATCAATCAAAAATACGGCGAGTTTCACACTTTTAAATTTTCATTACAAAATTTTATCAAGCATTTGTTTATAAAAAAAAGTTCTAGTAAAACATTTCTATATTTACATATTCAAAGTCACATAGAATTTAAGGATAGTGAACAGTTATCGATGAAATTTATAAAATCTCCCATACATAATACTTCAGAGTGTCACCGAACTTTATCAAACATAGCTCTTGGCGCCTACACGTACAACAGTTCTGCTCATTACATCAACACAACTTTAATGATGACGTCATTTTTCACCGTTGACGGTAAACACGGTCTGAACGATAATTCAGTTATGTGTTCTTTGACAGTGCCAGGGTTCGAGCCCCACTGGATCGGTGTCGACCTTGGAAATTTGTTCACTGTATTCTACATCGTTATCTGCGCTGGCTCAAGTAATTTCAAGTTTTTTCAGCTTTTTGTCTTTTTCTTTTTCATAATTTCTGTAATTTAAATATCGTTCAAACATTTAAAAATTAGACTATGGATTCTTGGCAGCCAGGAATGATTTGGATTACTTGATAGTGGGGGTGAGCAACAGATCCCTGGATGTTCACCCGCCAGTGAGAGGCACCTACGATCTCTGCGCTCAATATCCAGGTGTGGTTGCTTTGAAGCAGGTGGTTCAGTTGAATTGTTCCTCTACTACGCCTCCAGCCAGATACGTCATACTGCAACAACCTTCCAACTCTACTGGATACATGTCCGTCTGCGAATTCGAAGTCTATGGAACTCCCTACGGAAGTTTGAAAATGTTTAAAATAAAAATTAATCACCTCATTAAATATTATTTTAATTTAAAATATTATTTTAATTCGACACAACAAGCACACAGAGAGAACATTCTATACAACAAACCCGGGACCTCGAGTTCGGTCTACTATGAATTAAAAACAGCCCACCAGTGTGGTGCATTCTCAGCGACTCCTGTGGTTGACGGCTTCCACGACACTCTCTTTTACAACTGCCACTGTGGATCGACCGACGACAAGTCGGCTGGGGCAAATTGGTTCATGTTTGACCTGCAGGGCACCTACTACGTGGATCACATCATTTTCACCGCCCGGCTCGATTATTACGGTGGGAAATTTTGCTAAATTAAATTGAAAAATTATTTCTACCAATAATTTTTGTGGGAAATATTAATAATTTTTATTTTACAGCCGGAGATCACAGACTGGACAACTTTTACGTCGGTTTCTCCAACCAGCCCAGCTCAGTATCTCCACCAATCAGAAATCAGTACCCCCTCTGCGGCCAGTGGCCCGGTTATGTGGTCCCTGGATCTAAGGTGCTTATGAAGTGCAACGCCAACCTTCCCTCCTTCACGTATCTCATTGCCCAACAGGCTCTAAACGCGGCCGATGGTTATTTTACCATCTGTGAACTGGAGGCTTACGCACCAATTTCCAGAAGTACACTTGCACGTTTTAGCGATTTAAATTGATTTTATATTTTTAAAAAATTTCACATTTATGTTTTTAAATATTCACAATTTCTGTAAAATTCAATATTTCATTGTACAGTAAATTTGTTCAATTTTTCCAGATTTTTTGGTCTGGAAAAGAAAATTCGGCTTCTATTTGAGTGGCTACAGAGTTCAGACAATGAGTGTAAGAAGTGCCACTGAATGTTTCCATCAGGTTCGTCAGGTTGGCGGATGTGATTCCATTAACTTCAATGCAGCTACCAAGACATGCGAACTCAACAAACATCAGAATGGATACAACGGTTTGGTTTCAAATGCTAGCTGGGCATTTTATGTGGTCCAGTACAATTGATGTTGATCAAATCTTAAAGATACCACACCTGATTTATCATGAATTGATTTTTGAGTTTGAAATATTTCTGTATGATTTGTAAAAATTTTTCGACCGAATTAGACAGAAATTTTGAATGTTTTTAGTTTCATATAACTACGCTTAGGAATTTATTTCGTTAAGTATTCTCTACGTTTGACGAAATCCCTATTCGAACCGAGTCGTTGAACCTTTAACTTTGAGTGGGCGGGCTACCAAATCAATTATTCAGACAACAGTAAAGACAAATGTATATTTACAGAGAATTTTCTTTCGAGAAATCTCGAACAATAATATTCATTTTGTTGAATTTGTATTTTTTAATTTTTTCAATGCAAATGATATATCATTATTTTTTTTGTGTTTTGCTAATGTTAACCTTTATGTTTGCGCGTTTTTGTGAGCAGGTGAACGTGTTTGTTCGCCTTTGAAAACGTTAATTAAACAAGCGTTGATGTCTTTGTTTTGGTCTTTGTTTTATGTTTCAGGTTTTGTTTGTTAAAAAAATCAATGAAAAAACACAATTTTAATATCTCCAAACGCAAATTTGTTTTCCCTAATAAATAATTATAAAAGTAAAAATTTTTTAAATAAAAATCTTATTGAGAGATAAAGCAGCTTGTTGACCTTTTTGAACTTTTATAAATGAAAAAGTTCATTTACGTCTGTCTTAACTTTCAGTCTAACTCAGAATGTATTTATTTTTGGCAAAAAGTGATTTGTTAAAAAATATTTTTACTCTCGTTACATTTGGCGGTGGCCTCATGGCTACAACCTTATCAGATGGTAGCAACTACAAGCGCGTTTTTGGTTGTAACAGTGGAAGCGTGTGTGGAGATGGTGCTGACTCTTTCGATATTTTCCACCTGGGGATGTATGATCCGTGTAGGGCATTGCTTACATGTTCCTGGCTGTGTTCCAATTCGAGTACCGATTGCCGAGGATTCGATATCCGATTCGATACCGGCAAATGTACACTTTATCTCCATATCACTCGAATGTTTACTGTCATCTCTACGTCAGAAACGGTTCGTTGAAATTTTGCTTTCATGTGTTTGATGGTATAAAAGCCGATATATTACGAGACATTATGTAACATGATCTGATAAGGATCGCAGTAAATTAAATTTATTATCTTCATATCAGTATATTTATGATTAATTCTACATAATTAAGTTCCAAAAAGTTTATATATAATAATAAAATAACAAAATAAATAAGTTTATAATGAGCGAAGCTTGTTATGCTCTACAACAGATTTTACGAGAGTTTTGGATCTTCAATCGCCACAACCAGGCGACTCACTGAGCTTGTCCATTGACGGAAAGTTGAACGGAAAGTTCTCTGGCATTTATTCCGAATATAAAGCAGAGGTCGCATTATCCAATCGCGTCATAGCTGTTTTGATTTCCAACTTTTTCGACATGCCGAAAAGTTACTAACTTTCTTAATTTAACAAGTTATGATATTGTTACATTAAAGAATAAAATACCGAAACAAAAAATTATTTACTGGGCACTAGAAACCTGAGAAATAAACATTGGTAATTTTATTTCTTCAGTTCAAAATGATTAATCTTCACAAATTCAAAACTTTTATTTGAATCTAACACCAACCTCCAGTCTGCGGTAGAGTCAGCCCCTTCGCAATCATTCCCGACCGAACTTGGAGACGTACCAGCGAAAGTTTCAAAAACTGGGTCGGTGTTGGTTTCGATGATTCAACATGGCCCTCTGCCGTTATAATTAATGACGGTAATCCAAATTCGTGCATCACGTGTGAGACCTGCAGTAACTCCCGAACTTTATACTGTCGGAAGAAATTGGACTTCAATACTCAGAATTTTAGTACTTTAAAAAATTATTTTTATAATATTTTAGTACTTTGTTAACTTTACTCAAAAACAGATGGACTTAACTTGTGCTAGAAAAGAGCAAGAGCTGAGGGGCAAGTTGGTCAAGAGCTACCGACATAACCATATATAATGACGAAACATTTCGATACGAAACATAATACGATACGAAACAATACACACGAGTTAGACTCACATTAACATCAGTTAAAATTGCAACACTAATGCATTTTATTAGTGCAATATCAAAATCAAACAGCAAACTAATTCTGAAAAATAAAAGGTTACTCGTTGCAAGACCAGTTTATTTCATTGATAAATAATAATAATTACAATAACAATTATAACTATATTATTCATTTTTTATTCATTTTTTTTATTGCTGTACAAAAAATTGAAAATATAGAAAAGATTTTTAGCAAAAAAAATTAAAAAAAAAAGAAAAAAAAATCTCAAGATGTCGCCGCTACTACACTTTTCATTGGTTCTTGTAGAAAACTGACAAGTGCCTGTGCCTAAATTTGGTAGAATATGTAATGCAGCTATAGTGAAATATGTGGTATAATTATATAATAATTATGGTGAAATATGTAAAATAATTATGGTGTAATATGTAACGCATTAACATTAGTTCATTCAAAATTAAACATACTTTGGATCTGAGTAGTCCCAGTTCAACATCTTTATTAGAGTAAGAACACAGTAAGAAGTTTGCTACTCTTGAGACAATTACATTGCCTTCCTAAATGTTTGTGCATGTGTGTGTGTGTGTGTATGCGTGTGAGTGTGTGTGGTGTGAATCTTTGTGTGTGTAGAACTGTGTGTGAGTGTGCAGCTATGTGCATCTGTTTTTTTGTGTATGTATGTGTGTGTGTGTATGAGAATATTCACATTATATTATTCAATTTAAAATGATGAGATACATAACATGTAACTGAATAAGGATTAATTTTATTAAGAATCTCAATCTAGAATCTCCAAAAATAGTAATTAACCAAATAATTAACCAATTAAGCAATTAACCAGTCAATTAACCTGGCAATTGATAAGCACAGAATCCAATTCGTCTAGATCACTAGTGAATTTCAAATTCTTGCTAAGATGCATCCAGATGTTGTTTGCAATGGCAGCTATGTCTCGAGCATTTTTGCTGTCATACCCAGTGTAGGCCATTAAGCTGCCATCCCCACTCAACAGTCTAGAGGTGGGTTTAGTAATTAGGGAAAGATAGATGTACATATAACAAAGATATGATACCAAGGAGTATACTAACAGGATGATAAGATAACATAATGCTAAAATGATACATGATGACAAAGTAATAAAACAAACATGATAGTGTTTTTAATGCTGTTAATCAAGTTGTCATTATTATATGACACTGATAACGTTAATAATAAAATAAAAGCAGAAAACAGATAAAACTTCTGTTGTAATGTTTCTAATTCATAATTTATATAATTAATTTTTTCTCTAATTTATCCCAAAGCCATTTTATTCACATATTTCTCATCTTAAGTTAGCCAAAAACCAAATAATTAGCAACATACAATGTGCATAGGACACCATCTGAATTGGCTGATGATAAAACTTGTGTCAGGACTTTTGGCTTGAATATGACACTCGACATCTAAAACAAAAATATAAAAAAAAAGTATTATTTTATTTAATTATATTTATATTTATTAAATTAATTAATTATTAATTAATGAAACTTTTCCAATTTTTTTTTTTAATTTTATAGATAATTAATTTTTCAACATTGATAAAAATTTCAAGATGTAAGCATTCAAAATTCAAAAGCATCACCCTTTAAATTAAGTACAAAAAGAAGTATTTAGTGAATTATTTTACGAATTTTCAGACTTTTGATGAACAAATCTATCATTTCAAAAAACAGAAATCACACAAATGTCACGAGTAAAGCAGCAATGGACCAAAAATTATTCAGAACCGAATATCAATTCGAATACCGTCAAAAAAAGTCAAATTTTGATTAAAATATGCTAATTTAATACATAATTAAAATGTTTTAAATACAATAAAATTATGTTAAATTAAACTGTTTAATCAATTAAATATAAGAACTTTGTAATTTTGTAATACAAAAATAGGCACATATTTTTTCTTTACGTCCGACTAACTTTCCATACATTTTTATTATTGTCTCTAATTTAAATTCAAGCTGCTAATTTTGTTATTGTATTAAAAATTAAATAAACCAATTCTCGATTTTTAATAAAAATGTTTCATCCGGTTAGGACGCTTTTTGTAATTTTCAAATTTTTGCAATATTTTGCTTATTTTACATTTCATAATATGATTATGTAAATCTCTAACTAAATCATGTTCATGGTTCATGTATGTATAATATAATATGTTGTGTGGTCGTGTATGTATGTGTGTGTGTGTGTGTGTGTGTGTGTGTGTGTGTGTGTGTGTAGTTAGATTATAGGTATGTAAAGAAAACAAAAAGAAAATTACAGAATGTTGTAATATAATAATATAAAATTAGAATGAATAAAAGTACTAAAATTTTGTTAAAAAATAATTAATAAATCAAACCATGTGCGTGTGTGTGTGTGTGTTTCTGTGTGTGCATGTGCATGTTAGTGAGAGTGTGTGTCTGTCTGTCTCTGGTACTTTTTGTGACACATTGTGTTGCATGTTGATAGCTACATAATAATAAATAATATAAGTTTTTATTTTGTTAATATTCTGATTTTACTGTTGGTGAGGATGTTTTTCATTTTAAATTATGTATCTTTCGCTATAGCTATCCTTCTTTTGATATCCATATCAAATTTACAACCTGAGGTAATCAGACTTCTGAGATAATTAAAGCTATTGACTTGTTTCACCTGCATTATAACATATGGAGCTAATTTAATGTAATTATATTACTATAATTAGTTATTATTAATTATAATACTATAATTAGTTAGTAATTAATTTAAAATATAAAACTAAAATTAATTAATTTAAAATAAAAAACTTCTATAGGATGATGACGACCTGTATAATGATATGTTCCTATCCTCTCATAAGGTAAGTAAGCAAATGTTTGGTAGGGTGTATGTATTGTCTGTTGCATCTGTATATCATGATTGTGTATCATTATCTATATGTCATGATTTTGTATCATTATCTAGTATATCATGGTTAATTAATTAAATTGTTGAAACGTTTCATCTTTACTACAACTAGTTGTATGATATACAATCATTGATTACGTTATAATTAATAAAATATATATAATTTGGAATATTTTTAATATAAAATAATATTTATGTTAATTTGTTTTCATAATAATAATAATAATAATAATAATAATTTAGAACCACGATCTTGATGAAAAGCCGATTATGAAAGAGCAGAAGAAAGAAATTTTTTCTGTCTATATTGGAGATTTTACATGGGTGTGTGTGTGTGTTTGTGTGTATGTTTGTGTGTGTGTGTGTATGTGTGTGTGTGTCATTCACATCATCATCATCACAAACAGTGGACAACCGATCAGGACTTGTTGGATACGGTGGTCGGTGTTGGAGTTTCTGACGTCATCGACATTCGAATTCACGACAATCCTAGCAATGGCCTCTCAAAAGGGTATGCCTGGTTGTATATATATATACAAATATTAGGGTAATATATATGTAAATAAATGGATAGTTATAAAACTTAATTGGCTGGAACAGCACCTATATATTATTAATCAGTGTCGAGAAATAATTTAGCTGAGATTGTAACAGAAAATCATCTAAAAAATTGGAATCTTTTCGAATCCAAAAACCCTAGATACGCAACGATACAAGTTGAATCGAAGATCAGTAAGCACTTAATGATGACCAAGCTGTTGAACACGAAAGTGCACGGTGTGTACATCTCAGTTCATGACCACACCGAGGAAGTTAGGAAGAAATTTGAGGATGTCTTTGAGAGTAGGATCGCTAAGAAAGGTCTCAGGATTTTTCAGTTGTTGTTTTTTTTTAAGATCTTGTCATCGCCATCTTGCCATCATCTCAAGTAATCATTGCCACAAACAGTCCCCAGCTCGTCAAACAACGACACGCCAGCCCAGTCCATACCAGCCACTCTTAGTGTAAATAGGGATGTGCCTAGCAAGCCCGGCAACACAATTCCAGTTGTGGCTTCGTTACAGGCCCCGATGATTTTGAACAGCCACAGCAACATCAGTGCACCTCCTACCGTCATCATGGTTACTGCTGCTTCTTTTTATCAAATGACCTTGACATTATTCTTGACCTTAGAGGGAATGACCTTGATGGGAATGACAACTACAAATTCTACCTAAATATCAACGATCTTAACTATCAACAACCATGGCGTAACTATAAATGAACTTAATCTTTATAAATATGACCTTGTTTTTTTAATGACCTCGACCTTGCAGCCTCCTCCTCCGATTCTCAATGTACCGCCGCCTCCGTTCATGGGACCAACTACCCCCTCATTCATTCTCTTACCAAGTATGTGGTATTGGTGCAAATTTTTATAATGATGATGATGAAGGTGAAGGTATTGATGATGATAATAATGAAGATATTGATGATTATGATACAGAGACAGTCCAGTTATTATTTATCAAGCGCCAAATAAATTAATCCCTTATTTATCACCTCCACCCACCCCCACACAGACATCAATCCGAGACAGCAGCACATGGTTCCTCAACAGTGCCCTCCAGCTGTCAGGTTCGTCCGGCCCCCTCCACCTTTCATTGCGGGACCTCCTCCAAATGTCCATCTCCCTCCACCAATCATAATCAACCAGCCACCCACGTTGCCCATTGTTGACCAATCACACGTCGCCATGGTTCAGAAGCGTCAGCAAGAGCAAAAGCCATTTGAGCCGAATATTAACGTAGAGTTGGAAACCTTGCCAGATGCTTTGGCCCTTTCAAAGGCGTTTGTTCACTGTTTCGTTTGATGAATGTATACATAGGTCTGGATGTTGTTTGTCTGTTCATTTCATGGTTCGTTCGTTTGTTTGTTCATTTCATTGTCTGTTCATTTCACTGGACGTTTGTTTGTTTGTTTGTTTGTATGCATGCATGTATGTATGTATGCATGTACGTATGTATGTACGCATAACATGTTTGGCATATAGTGGTGGTAAGATGATGACGAAAGCAGAGTTTGAAAAAGTCTTCAGCTTGAACAGATCCGTAGCCGAGCAATCCATATTGAGGGCCTCTATTGACGCCGAAGCTGGTAAGTCGTCCTGGTGATGATGTTGGTGGTGATGATGGTGATGTTGGTGATGATAATGATGATGATGTTGGTGATGATGATGATGTTGGTGATGATAATGATTATGTTGATGATGGCGGTGAAGTTAATGTTGTTAAAACATCAGCAACACGTATAACCAAACATAACAGCATCAACCACCACAAAACATTATCCTCTCATTCCAAACTCTAGGCAATTTCAGAGATGCGATCGAGACATTAATGACTGCCATATCCATTGTCAAGGAGAGCAAACTGGGCAGTGACCCTCAAGGTTTTTGCTTGACCTTGACATTTGTTTCATTCATTTTTATATATTTCGTAATGTGCATACGGTATCTATGTTTGTGGTTGATACACTTGATGACGATGACGATGTTGATGAAGATGTTGGTGACGATGTTGATGTTGATGATGTTAATGTTAATAATCAGGCATTGCACTGATGCAGCCGATGAAAGATATGTTGGCTCGCGTCGAGAATGACTCGCTCAAGTTTGTAACAACATTCTATCTTTTTTATTTTTGGCTTTCTTCTGTTTTCAAGTTATTTCTGCATGATTATTTGGTATGTTTTCTATCTATTTTTAGTTGTTGTCTGTTGATTTCTTCTGGCCAGCCATTTGTTCGATAGAGTTTTAGAATTTCATCTGAATAAATGAAAAGTACAGCGGAGACTGGCGGTTTCATTCTGCAGCTACTGGATTCGAATGCGAAGTGGCCCCCACCTTCCATCACATGCAATGTGTGTGTGAGATGCATTGGTCCACGGGCACTCTGCGGTTCTTGCTGCTACTGATGATGATGCTTTGAGAATTAATTAGGAGAGCTTTAACATTAGTAATTTTCAAAAACGACAGACAACAGCTTCTCGAAAAGGCCAGCAAATCTCCTACAAATTGCTCACGCTACAGACGACGCTCGGAAGAAGCCGACGAAATCAGTTGCGACAGAGAGCGCAAACTAGACAGCCACATCTACAAACAAGAGAAAAAGTACCTAGACGAGTACGAGATCTACCTAGAGAGAGAATTAAAACGGAAGAAATCCAGTAGATCGCCGCTATCTTCGCACCACCACGACAAACGTAGATACTCACCTGGAAAGAGAAGCCCCCCCGCTGGTTACAGACGATCCAGGAACAAATCCCGAAGTCCCAGACTCCGCAGTCCTAGGCCCCGCAGTCCGAAGCCTTCCTACGCCAGCAGTCGAACCAGAGACCGGATGGATTCGAGGAAGGAGTCAGCCGGCAAGGATTTTTACGAGGATATTCGCGGATGGGATAGGGATAGTGGAAGAAGGTCGCCCAGGGAGGAGCGCAGGCCCTACCGTTATTGAATCCCAAAAGGTAAGGTGGGGCAAATATATAAAATTCAATTTGATCCAAGTATTTTTAAAGTTGTTTCCTCAAGTAATGAATTAAAAGTTGAGGTTTATTTGTTAAAGTGTATGCGTATGTATATGTGTATATATTTGTGTATGTGTCTGTATACACAGACACCCGTGTTTAGTCTTAATTCGCCGTTTCTGAAGCATGTCGAGATTACAAATTTTTTTCTAACTTTCGAAAGTGTCAAATGATGATTAATGAATGAACATAATTTTTTTTATAGAAGTAATAAGTAGGGTAGAGACGTATATTTACATGATGAAATATATAAATACATATTCATTCATATACACTTAACATTTATCACATGTGCCCATTTCTTTCCTCAATTTATTATCTTAAGCTATTCAGTTGTGGTCTCCGATATTTTATTTTCGTCAGATTGGTTCGTGGTTTAATTTACTTTTGTGTTATGCATTCTTGATGTGTTTTATTTATTATATATAAATTATTTGATTATTTAATTATAATTAAATATGGCTGGTTATGTGAGGTGTTTATAAATTGATTGTAGTGGTCTAACTGACTTTATTTTTCAATGAAACGATAATATAAATGATGTTTTGTTAGTAGTAACATTTTTGTATTGCTTGGGTAATTTTAAAAGTCTTTAATGGCTGATCAACTTTTTTCCAACCATTTTCGATGATTCTTTTACTAATTTAATTGCTTTATTGTTTCGTTTGTGTTATGTTATGTGTTGAATTCTAGTTAATGATTACCCTAATTTTCAAAGTTAAGAGATTTTCAAAGTTCATTTTTGGATGTCAATACATGAATTTATATCAACATAATTGTCGGCATAGCGCTATGGATTATAAACTTCCTTATCCACTAAATTGTACACAACTGATGGATGTTGTTTTGAAGTGGTAGAAAAATTTGAAGAAACCACCCAACGAAATTTCCATTTCAGATCCTGGCTCCCGAGTTCAAAAGCATGCCTGGAAGTAAATGATATCAGTCAATTTTATCTTAATAATCGTACTTATAAAATTACTTTAAAAACAATTTGTGTGACGATAATATGATGAATATTAAATTTTATTGTCGTAATAAATGACTGGGTTATTAATTTCATGTTTGAAGTTACTTCTTATTAAAGTCTTTTATTATCATTTACGTTTTTTCATTCTAATTTACTATTGATACTCTCGATAACGTTTGAGATATAAAAAAAATTATTAATAATATTTTATCGTTGTTGAATACGTAAGAAAAATTGAAAAAAAAATGTTCTGTTCATTTTGATTCGTTTTTTTTTGTTTATTTTCATAAGAATTCATGGCTGTAGAAAAAAATTAGATTTGTCTAGAATTTTCTAGTATAATTTTTATTTTTTTTAACTAATTTCAATAGTTTTTGTGAAAATCCGAAAATCCTGTTTAACGCCGTTTTTTGCATTACTCTACTACAAAGACAGATGTTTTTCAAGCAAGAAAAGTTTCCCGAGTGACTATAGAGATTCCAGATTCAAGCCCCAAAGTTCAGATCTCAATCTCAGATCTCACAGTTTGATGTCCTACATTATCAGTAAAATCCGTTCAAGCCGATGTTTTTGTCCCATTTATTTTTTGTTGAAATGCAACATAGATCAACATCAAATAACAAAAGAATCCGTTTTTATGTCGTCAAACTGAAATCGCCGTTTCATGAAAGTTTCAATAGTTTTTTTTTTTAAACTAAAATCCGGTTTTTTGCCGCCCTTTTCACATCTATCTACTGCAAACACATATGTTCTCCAAGCAAAAACAGTTTTCCGAGAGACTATAGGCATTCCAGATTCAAATTTTATCCGAAATATAAATATAACCTACCTAAGGATGATTGTTACGTTAAAATTGGAATTTATTATAAACGTTAAGTTAGAAGGAGATTGAAATGCAATGTTTTCAATTTGCCGGAAGCTTGTAGAACTACTTGAACTATCTGATTGGAAATTCAATTGAAACTTTAATTCGTAAATAATAATTTTCTTATTTGCAAACGAATACAAGATGGGTAAATGTATGATTTCTCTATCAAGAGTTACAATTAAACATGCATATCATCAATATTATCCAATCATCAAATGCCAGGAAATCATAATGTTTACTTGAAACAATGCTGCACTTCATAAGGGATTCAATTGAAATCGACACAACACATGAAAATCTCCAGATACATTTTTTTACCAACAATATATGAGCCTAACAATCATTCAGGTGGCTTATTCCGGATTTATGTTATCACCCAGTAAGGAGTGGGGATAAAGCATCTATATAGTTACTAAAAAGTCTCACTTAACTGACATTCAGATGGCTTATTTTGGATTTATGTCATCACCAATTGTGGAGTGTAGATAAAGTAACTATCTATAGTTTCTTGTTTATTTAAAAAAAAATTATTTCATATTTCTCGGATACTACATCTGAAAGAATTTGCCCTCTGAAAGAATTTGCTAAAGCTGAGCAAATTACTAAAATTGGTTTGTCCAAAATTTAACAGATCCTTATACCGAAATAAAAAGTTTCTTAATGCCTGATACGAAATTTGATCTGGAAAATGTTATAGATGTCTACTGTAATGCTCTCAAAACGCACCTTGAACTTAAATTTTTCAACAATGCTAGTCTTTATAAAAGCCTCTAATAATCGGTCCAGCCAATACATGTGTAAACAATAAAATATAAATCATGAAAGATAACTATAAATAACAAACACGCAAATTGTTAGTATTGATAATAAACGGCCTATAAATACTCAATAAAATACTCTAAAACATGCACGCATTGTACAGTTACACGCTGTAGGTACAGCAATCTATACGTTTAAGATACGCACAAATACACGTGTACTCGTGTGCGCTAATGTTAAAGTGATCAAATTAAAACGGAGTTTGAAAATTTTATAATATGCAGGAGAAAAATTTGACAAAGATTTTGTTCTCAAAAAACCATAAAAATGTCTGCTAACGACCTTTCACCGGTTTCTGGATTTTTACCAACCACACGAGAAACGATAGATTTTGTAATGTTTCGGTTTGTGGGTTGCGCGATTTTTTAATAAACGTTCGACGATATAGGACTAAATTTGTACAGACGTTTTTACATAGTACAGCGTTAACGTTTTAAATAATGTCGAGTTCATAATTTTCGAGATCATGCCAAGGGTATAGACTTTTTTGTCTAATTGACTGTGAAAAGCAATGAATCGTCTCAAAATTTATTCAACCATTTCACATCCAAGTTATGAAGACTACTTGAATATGTGGTTGTTCCAGCTTTGTCAATTTATGAGTTTAAGCTCTATTTGACCACAAATCTTTTTTGTAAAGTACTTTTATATGAAATATAATTGAAATTACAAGTTCATCATATCCTACCAGGAAAAAACATCGAAATGATGAAAAAAAAATTTTTAAGTAATTTTTTCCAAGTTTTATAAAAGATTTTATTGGAAAAATAGGTATTGATATTAACATAAAGTAATTCGTGATCTGAAAGTTGAAATACGCCCACGTATCGGAAACTTTTCCCACTAATCCGGAAAAAAAAGTTTTTTTAACAATCAGTTACTAATCCTCCTACGCCAAAAAATAAAAAAATTATAACTTTCGTTTATATTTACTAACTTTTTTATGCAAATTATAATGTTTCTTATTATAACAAATATTTTGCAACTTTTATAAGTTGATTTGCCTAAATACGAAACCATGAAACAAGCAAGACACCATCCTTCGCCAAATCTACTTCTAAAATCATCAAGTTAAAATATAAAATTTCTTTCAACATACGATCTTGTTTCTGAAGATGTGATTAAAGAATCGTTAGGAAGAAACTAGCAACAAACAAGTAACAACATGGATAACCTATATCTTTGATCTGTGTGAAAGGCCACAAGGTAAAATGACTTTATAATATAGCTGCTTGCATTGGACGTTTATTGGACGTTTATTTTATTATATTTATAATTAGTAGTAATTTTTATATATTTTAAATTTTTGAATTGTTAATTTAATTGAATTTAATGTGAGTTGTTTTATGAAGAATAAAATGAAAAGAAATATTTGTATCGTCACGTCAAACTGTGTAAACCTTCTTAGTTATAAGAAAATTTTCATAGTTAACGTCAAAAATTTTACGATAAAAAATATTTCAGTTGCATTTCAGCATTTATCTCAAAATCTTTCATCAACATTTAATATCTTTAAAATCTGTCAACGAAATATTCTCACTTCTTTCTAGTGCGTCATCTTTTCAGGACATTGGCGACCATCGACCTCCACAAAACCCGATCTTTAACACTTTGTAAGAGCTGAAATGTGGTGACATTCAACAAGTGACACAAGGACTTCACGAATGTTGTTCGTTGTTGACCGCGATCTTTTTTCCTTTCAATCTTTCCAGTAATTGTTAGATTTTCCATTCTTCCCTTCCGCATGATGTGACCAAAAAACTTTAGCTGCCCCCGTCGGATTCTCTGTAGTAATTTCCTCTTTTCATTATCGGAATTCGATATATCGGGTTATTTTATGCTGGCCAAGCTTGTTTGTGACACAAATGCAAATTTCACAGATTTTGGTGTAATATTAATTAATAAAATTATTTAATTAAAGAATTAATGAATATACAACAGACTACATGATAAAAGTCTATCTTCTGCCCCCGTCGGATTCTCTGTAGTAATTTCCTCTTTTCATTATCGGAATTCGATATATCGGGTTATTTTATGCTGGCCAAGCTTGTTTGTGACACAAATGCAAATTTCACAGATTTTGGTGTAATATTAATTAATAAAATTATTTAATTAAAGAATTAATTAATATACAACAGACTACATGATAAAAGTCTATCTTCTGATCTTCATCACATTGATTCTTCTCGGTGAGCTTGAATCTACGGGTAAGTCAAACAAAATATAAGGCATTTTTCCAAAATTTTCCTCTGTTAGGCATACCTCTGCTATCACTTTTACAATACGCAATTTTTTTATTCATTGTTAGCCAGAGATTTAAATTATAAAATTTTCTAGGGAGTTCACTTGCAGATTGTGAGAAACTGTATGGAATTTTTGGTGTGAAGAAATGTAACGATATATGCCCGTGTAACAAACCATGTGCCGATGGATGGATAAATAATACAAATACTACCATCTGCTAAGTATTTTAGTTGATACTTTTCTTTTTTTGCGGGTTTATTAAATTTCAAATAACGGATTTGTTACTCGTTTAGCTTTGCTTCTTATTTTTGTTGAATCGTTGTAGGTTTGTTTTTTTTTACTTTATTTCTTAGGTGCGGTTTTCACGATGTTCAGCAGCTCTCTTTGATAAATTTTGCTATCAGAATGTCTTGAGATCCGCTCTGAATTTCGTAAATGGCTGAGAAGTACTTAGAGAAGGAAGGAGAGAGTTTGAAAATGTTTAACAGAAATTGAGAAAAGTGAGAACGAGAAGTAATATTTTAATCATGTTATCTGATGTGTATTTAGGAGATGAGTTAGATTGAGTTAGATTTGTACGTTGATGGGATAGTCCTAAAAGTTTACGAGCAACTAAACGAGCAGCAGAGTGGAAAGTTTTAATTAAAGGTTATGTGAGGAAGACAGTAGTATGGCAAGTTAGTGCAATCAATTCTAAATTAAGCTAAGTAGTAACAAAATGAGAGAAGGGTAGGATCGCAAAGGAGAGGCGGAAATATTTTCTTTCAACTGATCTGAACAGTATGGTATAATTCTACTACTGACATTTTTCTCCCCATCGTTCGTTGCTGACTCCTGCTAGTTCATCTTCTCACTCTTTTCCTATTTTGATATCATCATCTCAATAATTACATCTTATTTATAAATACATATGCAACAAACTAATTAAATAACTAACTAATTTATATAAGTTGCATCAATTAATCGTCGCATTTTTATATCCAGCACAGAATATTTGATAGGATTAAACGAACAGAAAATAAATAAATAATGGTCCAACAACATAGAAGATGAACAAGAATGATTACATTTTTATGAAGAGTGATTACAAGAATGATTCATGAATAATTACATTTTTTTATACAGGTTTGCCTGATTGCGAGTGTATTGCTATGCCTCTAAGGATGACATTGGACGAAATGGTTCCTCATTGCCTTAGTCGTCGTTGGTGAAGAAAATCGCTGGTCCGCCTTTCAAAACAACCTGCATCATACTTTTACCCCCATTTCTTAAATGAACACCATTATTTTAAATGATAGGGGAGAACATCATTTTCTGGCGTACAGTTATTAAGGAGTTAATATTTGGAAAAAAGTTCTTATTTTTTTCATTTTTTTTCTTTGATAATCATATTATTGGTTTTATAAATTGACTTTGTTAGGGAAAGTGTTTCCCATGCTTACGTTTAATAGTTTCGCTAACATTTTTTCGCTTTTACAAAATTTAAAAGATTAAGAAATTTGAAGAATTAATATTAAATTTTCCAAATATATTTCAAGAATTATAGGGCTCATAAATGATTTCTAAATTCGCTATCGATCCAAAAAAGGAGTATTTAGTATCAAGACAAAAGTTACTGAGAAGAAAATTTCGTTTCCCAATTTTTAAATAAAAGTTGCGTCACATTTACTCGATTTCGGTTAAAATTATTTTGTGGGATTATTTTGTGGAGTTGCTTCAACCATAGTGGCAATCGCGACGTTATCTGTATTTTTTTACTAATTCCCGATCCAGTTTTTACTACCGAATGCAGACACTCGTATATTGACAAAATCGGCTGATCCCGAAAGATACAAAATAAGAGTAGAAGATATCGGGATCTTCATGCCTTGGTTTTAATCATTTAGCTATATTAATTTAACCTGATCTTTCTTTGAATTGAATGAGACTGTGTCTCCAAAAAGGCAGACAGTGTCTCGAGAATGAATGTACTTTTAGAGTGCAGATACTAAGGATTTGAAATTTGAATTCTGCATGAAGTACGAATAAATATAACGTTTTAAAAATTTATTGATGTTTTCTCGTTCGTTCGTTCATCCGTTAATTCATTTTTTCAATCATTCATTTATTCATTCTTTTATCGACGTTAAATAAGCAGATTCTATATAACCCAGATAGGATTTTAATTTAAATATAATTTCCTTTAAATTACGAGAGCAGACTGTTCAAATCTTTTCGCGTTAAAACATATTTCTTAATAGTTGCATCTCTTCAAGTACTTATTCAACTTAAAAAGTACGAAGCGGTCTTATGTTTTCATGCTAAGAAGTTAATTTGCATTTGAATCGTGAAAGTTAACGGGAATCGAACTTACTGTAGTTAAAATGCACTGAATTCCAACTAATACTGGCCGAAGAAATTTTCATTTAAATAGCAGAATATTAACGTTTACAAAATGAAATTCGATTGCGCCTGTGCGTCAAGATTAGCATATAACGTTAATTTTATGTCATTTATATAAATTTGAAACTGTGTTTGAAGTTTAAACTACGTGTCTGTCTGTGTGTGCGTCAGTGTGTGTGTGTGTATGTATATGTATGTATGTGTGTGTGTGGTGTGAAATTTTATATCATAACAAAATATTTCTTTATTTTACTAAACAGAATTTAAATAGAGAGATCTGAGATATAAAAAAAAGAACACAAAGGATGAAAACTGCATTCCTCCTGCTGTCCATAATCTTCGGTGTTGGAATGTTGTTGGCCGTTGTTGCCGAGAGCAAGGGCGTTTACAGAGGATTTCGTAAGTATTATGAAACTGTTTTTGTAAACAGGTCTGGTGGCGTAGTGGTTGCGATCGCGACGTCTGACGCTGACGCGACGTCTGACGCTGCTGCGGTAGGGAGTAGGTTCAATGTGCGTCATACGTTCATTCACATATTTCTGAGATATAATTCAGAGAAAAATAAATAATAATAATATTAATAATTTTAAATCGAACTCCTATCGATATTGATTAATTTGATTTTCAACATTTTTTACTTTTACAATTATTTATTTATTTATTAATTAATTATTTATTTTTTACAATTTTTTGAATTTGTGAATGTTTGTTATTACCAGAGACGCTGTTCTCTGGTGTGTCTGTGTGTATGTGTGTGTATGTTTGTGTGTGTGCGTGTGGTAATGTATGTATGTGTGATGTGCCATGTTTTCATCATAGACATATTTCATTTTTGCCGAATTAGCGATTCACAACTTTGTTCAATTTTTTACTACTCGACGTCAACCACCGAATATTCGAAAATATCCAGTACATCTCTACTTTTTCTTCTTTTCAGGACATGAATTTAAACAGATTTAAAAAAAAAAATCTTCAATTTAGGTGGCGGTAGTGTATGCGAGTCAGTCTCTTGCGGTGGTGGCTGTCCCAATTCAGGGTTCAAGTCAGATCCAAATGGATGCCAGACATGCAGGTGCAACAACCCCTGTGCTGAGGTACGTATGACAAATGATACTACAAACAAAACATATGATATAACACATGATACTACAGAAGACATATGATATAACACATGATACTACAAATAACATATGATATAACACATGATACTACACAAAAAAATATGATATATCACAACATACTACACATAAGATGACATACAGACTACATGTAAGACTACGCATAAGACTGAACATAACATATGATGCTACACGACCTGTGGTATAGCCTATTGTTTGATATGCTTGTACAATTTTCTTATCGTTTTTGTGAAATATCTGATATATCACATGATACCACGTAAAACATTTTGTATGATACAGTATATAACCATGTGAAATATGATTCGACACATGAATATGATATTACATATAACATATATACGCTTTTATTCAATTAACAGTGTAATATTTATCTGTAATTATATAATTATTAATTAATTAATTAATTTGTTGATATGAATAGATAAAATGTATCAACGACAAATGTACTAGCAATGGTGATGCGGCCAATTGTGATGAAGGAACTGCCTAAGAAATAAGATCCAAAGAAAATGTAAAATTTGTTAAATAGATACAATATCATGATAATAATGTTTTAAGTATGTACTGTGTATGATTTAGATAGATTTAACACCATGATATAATGTGTCAAATAATACTAATGCGTTAAATGAACACTGCATATGATTTAGATAGATGTAATATCATGATGTGATGTGTAAAATAGATAGTATATTATGATAATATGTGCTAAATGGTGGTGATGGGAAAATAATTCATGATATATTTATTTATTTATTTAATTATTTTATTTTTAACAGTTTGAAAATAAATTTTTCCACTCGTAAAGTTCGTTTTGAGGCCATTTACACAGATGCGTTTTAAAACATTTTTAATACTTTGAAGAAAAAAAATCAAGAATAAAATAATAATAACATTTTTTTATTACAGTATTTCTCTTTTATTTCGTTAGTTCATTAATTTTTTATTTAAATTTTATCTAAATTTATTCTGTTTCTTATTTCAGTTTTACTCGTTAGATGTACTAGACACACACACACACCACGGCCTTCAAGTTTTTTTTCAACAAAAATTCCTCTAAAAAAGTGTCCACAAATGTTTATTGCATTGATAATATTCACATTAAAGATGACTTTGTGGAAATAAATAACTAAATATACGACTAAATGTGAATTTAATTGTTATTTATTAATTAATTAGTTTAAATTGAATAAGAAATACACAACACGTGCAATGAACATAATAGGTAGTTTCCAGGCAGGAAGATTCAACCATCCGTTCTTCCGTTTGGTCTGCAAAAAAAAATTAAAATTAGTAGAATAAAGTGTTTAATTAATAAATGGGTAAGAGAGAGAGAGAGAGAGAGAGAGAGAGAGAGAGAGAGAGAGAGAGAAAAGATTTGATGGAAATTTCAAAGGTTATCTATGTCAGATTCAATTCTCAACTAATCGAGGAGAGGGCGTTTTCATATTTTTTTCATTTTCTCGTCCGCTACCCTGACTGCGGCCAAACCACATTCCTCAGTCGTCATTTCTACATATCGTCCGACAAGTGTACCAGAGACCGTACTGCCCCACGCCCTACCGGCCATCCAAGGTAATAGTGGGCATCCATCAGGGTACTTGCCATCGCGCGTTGAAATTTCGGATGGTTCTTTGAGAACCGGAATTGAAGCCCTGGAGAAGAGCCGGCAAATATAGTCGTTTAATGTTGAGTGACGTAGTTGACGGCCTCCATGCAGAGGTGTGGGGGCCGTCAACTGTGAACCGTGGTATCCAAACTCGTCTCCGCCCCAGTACCCCATCGGCACGGGTATTTATTTTGAATAACCAGGCCAAGTTTGAAACCTATGGCAAATCTCACAGATTCGTCGTCAAGCCTGGTTCCTTAAGAATTTAGTACGTACGTGTATATGTATGGATATACGAATGAATAAATGGAAGGCTGGATGGATGAAAAAATAAATGAATGAATGAACGAACGAACGAACAAATAAACGAATAAAATTTTAAAAAAACGAGCTTTGTTGATTGCTCTAATTTTTTAAAAAAAAAGGTTTACAAATGGAGTGGCAATAAAAAAAATTATATCAGAATAATTACATTTATGACGTCATCATCGTCATCGCCATCATCATCATCATCATCATCAACATCATTAACGACGTCATCATTATCATCAGCTCCTCATCAACTTATTGACAGTTATGTGAATAGATGGAGCATATAGGCATACATGGAAGATCTCGACTTGACATTCTTCTTTTTCTTCTTATTATTATTATTGCTATTATTATTATTATTATTATTGTTGTTAATATTATTATTGTTATTATTATTATTATTATTAATATTATAATATTATATAGATCATTGACATTTTGTATCCTTATTTTAATAATTTTTCGTCGTCGTCATCATCATGATCGTCATCATTCTAACAAATATCTTCTTCATCATCATCGTCATCATCATCATCATCATTCTAACAAATATCTTCTTCATCATCATCATCATCGTCTTCGTCATCATTTTATTATTAATTTCAACTTCGTCAATCATCATTAGGCATATCATCACATGACCAGTGAACATTACGATGACAATGATGTCAATTGCGACGATGATGATGGTGATGTTGATGGTGATGGTGATGATAATTATGGCGTCGCTGGTGATGATGATGATAGGGACGTTGATGATTATGATGATAGTTAGGTTGATGGTGATGATGACGACAACGACGATGGGAATGTTTATAACGATTTCAAAGATACTAACATAATAAATGATATCAGTATCATGAAATGTTAATGCTATGATATAGACAGTATCATGATATAGACAGTATAAATATCATGATATAGACAGTGTCGATGATAACAATGGCAATGAGAATTAGCAGGATAATGATGACGATGACGTCATCTATGATTTTGAGGAGCATGTCAGCGTAAAGATAGATTCTGCTGCATATCGCTGCATTGGAGCAATGATGATTATGACAATTAAGTTACGATAATGATGAAGACGACGACGACAATGATGATGATGGTGGTGATGGTGGTGATGAGGTTGATGGTGATGGTGAGGATGAGGATGGAAATAATGATGACACTGACGGCGTTCGTTCTTTCTTTCAATCATTGATTCATCTTTCTATTCTTTTACTCGCTCATCTGTTCATTAATTTATCAATTAATTCAATCCTTATCATCGTCATCATCGTCATCATCATCGTCAACATCATCATCCAAATTCAACAGATACCGCCCACGCAAACTAATGATGATCTTTCTGACCCCAAGTTCACGCAACAGCCCGCTCTTTTATTTCTTCATCTATCCATCCATCCCTTCATCCGTTCATCCGTTCGTTCGTTCGTTTGTTCGTTTGTTCTTTCATTTATACAATATTTCATTCATTCATTTTTTCATTCGATCGTTCATTCATTCATTTGTTCATTGGTTTGTTCGTTTAATTGTTCATGTATCGTGTATTAATTCATTAATTCATATAACCATTCAATCAATCATTCATTCCTCATTCATTCTTTTTATTCATTAACTCATTCATTCACTCATTCATTGTATGTATTTTCATCTGTGCAGTTTGTTACAAGAACCAATCATTTTGTTTTTGTTGCGTCATAAAAAATATTAACAAACAAAAAAAAATAAATCGCCTAAAAAAATAACAAAAACCAAAGAACAAAAAAATTTTCAATCAGGTATCTCCAGAATACTTTTCCATTAAAAGTTCTTTGTGTCCGCCATCTTGAAAGAAAAAATGGCGTCTGCTCTGCTTCGCTGCGCACGGCTGGTCACGTGATGCGATTTTTTAAATGCTCATATTAACGTGTGTGGCTCACATACACACACACACACACACGCACAATCACACGCAAATATGTACGTGTGTTTGTGTATGTATGTATGTATGTATGTATGTATGTATGTATGTATGTATGTATGTATGTATGTATGTATGTATGCATGTATGTATGTATGTATGTATGTATGTATGTGTGTGTGTGTGTGTGTTTGTATATATGTGTGTGTGTGTGTGCACGTGCACGTGTTTGCATTGTTTAACTGTAAATGTACATGAGGCTCAAGATTGTTCAAACATATGTGCGTGTTTCGTGTGCGTATACGTATGTGTGAGTGTGTGCGTGTGCGTGTATGTATGTGTGTGTGCGTATGTGTATCTATTGGTATACCACGTATGCGTAAGTATTTGCGCAGTACAAAATACACTCTCTCACACACACACACACACACACACATACATGTATGTATATACATACATATCTTGACACAATCATTCTCACCTACAGGTGCATACATCCACACAAAATCTTACCTACTCACAGACACACACGCACACACACAATTACACACACATATACGCCTCTCTTAAAATAGATCGATCAATTAAGTATCTAAATGCCAGCGACAGAACTGAATTGGATACAAGTAGAAAAAAAACTTTATTCATCATCATCGTCGTCGTCGTCGGCTGCTGCTGCTACTACTACTGCTACTACTACTACTACTACTGCTACTACTACTACTACTACTGCTACTACTACTACTACTACTACTACTACTACTACTACTACTACTAGACTACAACGACGATGGCCTCCTACGACTTGATTCGTGTTGAAGCAATCGTTTGGTACATTTAACGAATTTTTAAATAACAATGACGTCAGCGTGACGTAAGCAACGGGGATTTGATTTTGTATTTGTTGTTGTTTCTGTTGATGTTTTTGACATTTTAATGTAGTGTTGATGTTTTGATGTTGTTGTTATCGTCGTTGTTGTTGTTTTTGATGGGTTGTTGGTGATTTTGTTGTTATTACTGTTGTACATCTTATTTCCTTAATTCATCATATCAATAATTTAACCGGCGGAAAGATTGTGTAATGGCTAAGACGCCTGGTTCTGCTGTCGCACTTACCAGATTCAAATGCAAACAGATCCCTACCTACCTAGTACAAACCCTACGTAATTGTTTAATCTGTTTGTATTGTTAATAGCTCGAAAAGAAATTGGTGATATAAAATTACGTTAAGGTTGTAAATTAATTTTAAAATTTTATATGAGCATTGGAAGGAATGTCGTTGGTTTGTGTGTGTGCGTGTGTTGTAAAAGTCTGTCTGTGTGTGTGCGCGCGTGCGTGTGTGTGCGTGCGTGTGTGTATGTGTGTGTATTCTTTTTATAAAAACAATTTTTTCATTTATTCTTTCACATTTTTTCTCTCAGAAACTTTCCCTCTGACGTCTTTCATTATGCTACTCAAGCAATATTATTACGTCACTGATGTGCGAGTGTGTGTGCGTGTAAAATTTTGTTCGTGTGTGTTTGTATGTGTGTGTTTGTGTGCGTATGTATATGCGTGTGTGTATTTGTGTGTGCATGTGTGTTGATGTGCAGTGAATGGAGCGATTTGATTGGCCACCCTGGAGACCACGTGTTTCCGTTGGTGTTGCCAAAGATCGTGAATGTTGTTTCGTTTATAAGATTTCTTTCAATACCGGCGAATGCGTTTTTCTGAAAACAATCTTGTGCGTGTGGACGGATGTGTGTGTGTAGTGTGTGTGTGTGTGTATTTGTGTGTCGGTGTGTATGTGTCTCTATGTATTTGTGTATGAACGTTCTTCAATGTGTATATCTGTGGTTGTTTTATGTCTTGCTTAAATTATACACACAAGTATGTAATAGAGTTTTACAACAATTATTAATATAACATCAACAACAACAACAACATTAAATATTATTATAGTATCAACACTAACAACAACAACAACAACATCAAATATTAATATAGCACCATCAACAAAAACAACAACAACATCATCATCAACAACAACAACATCAATAAAAACATTGATGTTTTTATTTGATGTGAGTGAAGCAATGAGATGAGATGAATGAATGATGAGTGATAGAACGTCGGACAGGGCTTAATCTCAATCAGCATCGATTGCATGTGTTTGTATGTTTGTGTATGTATGTCTGTGTGTATGTTTGTGTGTATGTTTGTGTGTATGTGTGTGTTTATGTTTCTGTGTGTGTTTAGGTATCTATTTATGTATGTGTGTGTGTGTGTGGTGTGTATGTTTGTGTGTGTATGTTTGTATCAATCTATGTATTTGGGAGTGTGTATGCGGCGTACACATACAGGCACTCGTATACATACTCACCTACATACATACATACAAATAAACATACAAACACACAAACATACAAACATACATACAAACGTGCATTTGCATTTTGATTCGTCCGTCTGATAAACATGCAAAAGCTGTACTTAAATGTTGTTTGT